AGCGGTTGGAGCGTTGGCCTGCGGTCCAGAGAGACTCGGGTTTGGTTCCCGCTAAGGGCATGTACCTCGGTTGCAGTTTGTCCCCGACCCTGGTTGGTCGTGCGGGTGGCAACCACTCGATGTGTCCCTTCACATCGATGTTTCTCTCTCTCTTCCTCTCTCTCCCTCCCACTCTATCTGAACAAAAAATGGAAAAATGTCCTCGGGTGAGGATAAAAAAAAAAAGTATTCAACAATAAAGATAAGTTTAAAAAGAAAAAACTAACCAATAAACCTCAGATTGATTGAGAAAAAGATCAAATACTAATGCTTGAAGTCGGGAATAAAACAGGGACTTCACGACGCTGACAAAAATACACTGCACAGACCTAACCATGAAGAAACCATCAGAATTGCCCTGGCTGCTGTGCTCAGTGGTTAGAGCACCAGCCCACAGGCCAAAGGGTCGTGGGTTCACTTCCGACCAAGGGCACGTACCTGGGTTGCAGGTTTGATCCCTGGTCCTGGTTGGGGCGCATGGGGGAGGCAACCAATAGAAGTGAGCTGTCTGTCTGTCTGACTGTCTCTCTCTCCCCTCCCTCCCTTCCACTCTCTAAAAATCAATAGGGAGAAAAAAAATCATCAGACTAATCTGACTGAGAGAGTCTACAAAAAATAATGGGCCTGACGCTTCAAAATTCCAATGTCATAACAAATAAATTCAGTCCCAGAAACCGTCCTCGCGTGAAGGAGATGAGAGCTCTCTCAACTGAGTCCAGGCTATGGCCCTGCACCTGGAAAAGTCTCTACAAAAGCCCGAGGCAGTTGGCAGGTTGTCAGCGAGGTCTTACCCCAGAAAGTCCCCATCTTGGGTAACTGTCCTGTTGTGTAAGTGACTGTCCTTGTTCTTCTTTTTTACTTTCTTTTTATCAGCATGCTGTTTTAATTTTACACAACGGAAAACAATCACTAGATGAATTTCATTAATTAAATACAAACATGGAGGAGAAAGGGAGAAACACACACACACACACACACAGTTTGAGAACAGTCAACTCTGGGATTGTTTCTTGGGTCCAGCAAAAGAGCCAATCGAGATATTCACGAAGAAGACACTGCACCCGCCTCTGGGTTCTCTGGAAACGCAACCGGCTGGCCCTGTGCCACGTGTGCCTTGTCGGGCCTTCCGTGTCAGGCTCCCCAGACAGCATTTCTCCTGAGAATTTCCCAACCCTTCCAGTTTGATCCAGCTCCGCTCCCAAGCCAAGCTGGCAATCAGGAATCAGTTCCCTCGGACACAGTGTCGCGAATTGAAAATGGATTAGAAACGAGGGTGTTGCGTTAGCATTGAAGTGTGTGAACACACAGCGAGCTGGACAGAAAGCTGAAACACCTCCTCTCTTGTATCATTTTGATGTGACTCCCTTTGTCTTTTTTTTTCTTTTTAATTTGTTTTCCTTTATTAATTTCAGAGAAAGAGGAAGTTAGAGGGAGAGAGAGAGAAACATCCATGAGAGAGAACATCAACTGGCCGCCTCCTGCATGCCCCCCACTGGGGATTTGGCCCACAACCTGGGCATGTGCCCTGACCGGGAATCGAACTAGTGACCTCTTGGTACATAGGTCAATGCTCAACCACTGAGCCACACCAGCCAGACGACCCTCTTTGTCTTTGAACACCTCTTGCAACTTGGCCCAAGATATAATAGGATCTCCTTGTAGGTTTCCTGGCCAGAGCAGGATCCAGCTATTCCTTTAGGGACCCCAGTTCCTTTCTGTTGGGGAATGTATTTAGAAAACACATTCTGCCCTGGCTGGTATGGCTCAGTGGTTAAAGTGTCGGCCTGCGGTCCGGAGAGACCCGGGTTCGGTTCCTGCTAAGGGCACGTACCTCGGTTGCAGTTTGTCCCCAGCCCTGGTTGGTCGTGCGGGTGGCAGCCACTCGATGTGTCCCTTCACATCGATGTTTCTCTCTCTCTCTCTCCCTCCTGCTCTATCTGAACAAAGAATGAAAAAGTGTCCTCGGGTGAGGATAAAAAAATAAAATAGAAAACACATTCTGAGCACTAGGTGGGCTCATTGCTAAGCAAATTATTTCTAGGCCTTTCCAATGTATAGGGCAAGAAAATATACCAATGCTGTCAAGTCAAATTCACCACCACCAGGTAGGGAGAGGTTTACCGTGAGGCTAATGAGCTCCTTCTAAGATTCTACACCGAATTTTGTAGCATTTCTAATTTTCTTTTTTTATCCTCACCCAAGGACATTTTTCAGTATTTTGTTCAGATAGAGTGGGAGGGGGAGAGAGAGAGAAACATCAACATGAAAGGGACACATTGAGTGGTCGCCACCCACACGACCCAACCAGGGCCAGGGACAAACTGCAACTGAGGTATGTGCCCTTAGCAGAAACCGAACCCGGGTCTCTCCGGACCACAGGCCGACGCTCTAACCGCTGAGCCAAACCAGCCAGGGCTCACCCGAGGACATTTTTGCATTTATCTTCAGACAGAGCAGGAGGGAGGGAGGGAGGGAGGGAGAGAAACATCGATGTGAGAGAGACACATTGACTGGTTGCCACCCACACGACCCCAACTGGGGCCGGGGACAAACTGCAACCAAGGTACGTGCCCTTAGCAGGAACCGAACCCGGGACTCTCTGGTCCACGGGCCGATGCTCTAACTGCTGAGCCAAACTGGCCAGGGCAAATTTCTAATTTTCTTTAAAGAGATCCTCCAAAATTGTGTAAGCTTCACATCTCACAAAAACTGTACCTATGGCTGTGCCCCTGTGCCCTCCCCAGGGCCTGCCTTCCTCAGTCTGCAGTACGTTCTTCCCCAGTGAAAACCCGAGTCCTGAGGAGAAACGCCACCCCCACCTCCTCTGTCTCAAGGAGAAGAGGGAATCAAGGCAAAAGTTCACTAATTCCTTTCTATTTTCTTCCTGGGATCCTTTTATACAACTGACCTGGGTCATGGTCCCTAAGAGGATTCCAAGAGTCTAAAATAAATTTGCCCACTTACTTTGAATTTTTTCATGTCAATATAGCACCTTTTAAAAAATTGAACTTATTGAGGTGACACTGGTTAATAACATGACATAGGTCTCAGGTGTACAGCTCTGTAACACATCGTCTGTATATTGTATTGTGTGTTCACCAGCCCAAGTCAAGTCTCCTTCAGGGGCTGCCCTTGTTCTTAGGAAGCACACCCTGGGCACAAGGGGACATCAGTCCTCAACCTACCAAACGGTTCAGGTTTTAATGGGCCCAGGGGCACAGTCCAGCATTTAGTTCTACTGGAGGCCCTTCAGCTGACCGAGGCCTGCCCCCCGTCAGAGTCGAAGGTCTGTGCCCTCTCCCCTCCCACGAAGACCTCTGACCCACGAGAGCTCCTTGGAGCCCAGGACCTTGGCTCAGAGCCTGGAGCCCTTCGGCTATGAAATGGGGGACAATCTGACCCTGAGGCTGTGGGGTTCCTTCCGGTGGTCTGAGAAGGCCCATCTGAGAAGCAGAATCCCAGCTGGGCTGCCACTTGGAAACAGGCCCGGTCCTTGGCCTGGGCCGACAACTCTGCACCCAGCCACCTGCCCTGGAGGAGCGGACTGGCTCAGCTGGCTGCCGGTGGCCCAAGGCCCAGGGGCCTTGCAGCAGGTAGGATGCCAGGTAGGCCCGAAGGCCTCTGGGCCTGGACACCAAGCCAAGAAGGGCCAGGGTGCTGAGCAGGGAGCGCTGGGTTCCCAGCCTGGATGTCCCCTGCCTGGGACTAAGGCTCAGTTTGGGCTCCCTCTGTTTCCCTCTGAGCCCCTAAATCCCCTCCCTGAAAGAATGGCCCAAAGACAACTTCAACCACAAGCCTGTCCCGGCACCCTCCTCTGGGCCAGGAGGTGTCATGGAGCCACCTGAACACCCCTCCCTCCCCGCCATTTGTGGGGGTCAGTGGTTCAGGAAGTGACAGACCTTCCTCTGCTCCCAGATGAGGTGGGTCAAACCTGGCTGTTCCTGGGAGAAGGCCTGACCCCCACCTGGCTCCCCGCACCTGAGCCCAGGGCGAGACAGGGGTGCCCAGGAGCCCCAGAGAGGGTGTCAGGGAGGCGCTTACCTGGAGCAGAAGGAGGCACGGTTCACCCAGCGGGCAGCCTGCGTCCCCCGGAGCCGGAGCCCAAGCGGAGCCCAGCCCGGTGCAAAGCTGATGCTGACCACGGGGCGGCTCATTATCAGGAGGACCTCACCTGTGCACTGGCCCCGCCCCCTCGTGGGCGCCTGCCCGCCCGCCCGCAGGTGGTGGGAATTTGGACCTCAAGCTCCTCTCTGCCCTGTGCGGCCTCCGCCCTCCAGGACGCCCAAGGCCAGGTGCCAGCACAGCAAGTGGGCCAAGGGAGCCTCTTGCCAGGCGGCTTCTGTTTAGGCGCCAGGGTACTGATCCAGCCAAGGTCAAGGCCAGCCTTGCAGTTCGGATCCTGGGAGAGGGTAGTGGGCAGCTGGAGGCTGCTTTCTCAGGGGGGTAAGGGGGGCAGAACTGGGCCTGGCACAGAAATCCACACGCAGCGATGGCTGGTGGTGTTTGGTGGTGGCTCCAAATGGGTCCTCTCTCCATGGGCCCTTCCAGAGCCCTCACGGCAATGACAGGCCGGGGTCTCTGCCCTTCCTGCTCCACAGAGTTCTGTCCCATCTCCTCAGAAACCTGTTTGCTTTCGTTTTCCTCATTCTTGATTTCTCTTCACTCCTCACGGGGGCCCCCAGGACTGAGCACTTGGGCTCCAGCTCCAGGGGCACCAGGGCCCCCACCCCGCAGGCGCGGCCCACTGGGAGCGCTCACCCAGGGCGGAGGGAAGTCTCCACTTCCTCAGCCAGGCCCTCTCGAAGCTCTGCTCCTCCCGTCCCTCTCCCACCCGGCCCCTCCTCCCTCCAGCCCAGAGGCTCAGGGCCACTCTCCTGGACACTGTCCCAGGCCCACTGGACCTGGCTCATTTGCCTGACCTGTGTCAACCCTGCCTCTTACTGGACCTCTCCCTGGGCACAGACAGACCCTCCTGCAACAGCCAGACACGCACACACACACACACACACACAGAGTGGTGTTTGTCAGAAAGCCCACCAAAGACCATCTTTCCTCCCCAGCAGAGCGCAGGCAAGGACACGAGGAGCTCGGGGACACGTATGCTTTATTACTTATCCTACACGTGACTGTCCCAAAGCCGAATCAGACCACCCACCTGCACTCATTGTACCTTACAGAGCACAGGTTCATGGCTCCTAATGACGCAGCCCCACCGCCTTCCCCAGACAGCCCAGGGCCTGAGCGCGAAAATTCTGCTACTTTGGGGCCTGGTCATTCCTGCCCCCACCCACTCCTCCTCCTGACCCCTAACCTCAGGGAAAAGAGCAGACATGGCCAAGATCCAGGCCCACCGGCCTGCTGAGCACCAGGGCCCATGGGAACAAGGGAGTCCCACAGTGGTCACTCAGCCTTCCCACGGCCCTGCCTTCAGGAGGCCACATCCCTCGGACGAAGAAATAAGGCACGGTGGTGAGGCGGGAGGGACGCCGAGGGAAAGCTTGCAGGTGGATGTCCTGAGACACGGGTCGGCGCCCCCTCGCCTCGCCTTTCTCCGAGACCTGCTCCCAGGCACCCTGGTCTGGGCAGGCAGAGGGCCGCACCCGAAGGGCTGGCGGGGTGGCCCTGGCCGGAGGAGGCTTGGCCCCTGCCCGTCCACCCCGTGTCCGGAAGTCAGAGTTAAGGCCACGTGGCTCCCACTCCCTTGCCCACAGTCCTCAGCGGCTCAGCTCCGGTAGCTCTTCAGCAGGTGCCCTGCGATGACCAGCCTCTGGATCTCACTGGTGCCTTCATAAATCTCGGTGATGCGGGCATCACGGTAGTGCCGCTCGGCTGGCATCTCTGTCACGTAGCCCATGCCACCCAGGATCTGAATGGCCTAAGGTGAAAAGCAGGGGCTGAGGAGGGAGAAGACCCCACACACTGTGGGGAAAGGCAGGGGCAGGATCAGTCACACAAAAGGACAGGCTGGGGGAGGGGCAGCACTGGGGATACTCACCTGGTGGCTAATGGCAGTTGCAGCCTCTGACGCAGCCAGCTTGGCCATTGCTGCCTCCTAACCACAGGGGATGGAGGGGTCAGAAACTTTACCTTGTGGGGAGCCCCCAGCACATGGCCCCTCAGCAGGGGCAGGCCTGGGAGCCTCCGCTTGGAGCAAGAGGAATTGGGACACCACCAGACTTCTCCCTCAGCCCCTCAGCCCACCAAGGGGCCAATGCCCGGGGAGACCCTTCCTAAGGGCACCTTGGTGAAAGGCTTCTTGTTATCCTTCAGCATGGCAGCACGCCAGGTCAACAGCCGGGCACTCTCCAGGGCCAGGGCCATATCCGCCAACTTGAACTGCAAGAACCAGGCCCAGCACACCAGTCAGTCGCTGCCCCTCCCTCCCTCCGTGGGCGTGAGGGAGGAGAGAGGGGGCATGGGAGCGGAAAAAGCTCATCTGCTGAGTTCTCCCCCAGAGTCCAGGCTCCTGAAGTCGAAGCCTTATTACCTGGATGCTCTGGAGCTTGGTGAGGGGCGCCCCAAAGGCCTTGCGATTCTCCGCGTAGTTCACAGCACAGTCAAGGGCAGCCTGGGCGATGCCCAGAGCCTGGGAGGCAATGCCAATGCGGCCCATGTCCAGGGTTTGCTGTGGGGACCACCGCAGTCAGTAGCTGGCCAGCTGGGCGCCAGGGCCTCAACCCAGGGCCCCATCCCCACAGCAGGGCTCACCATGGCTATCTTGAAGCCCATCCCCAGCTCCCCCAGAAGGTTGTCCTTGGGGATGCGACAGTCCTCAAAGATGAGGTTGGCTGTGGATGAGGCCCTGATGCCCAGCTTGTCTTCCTTCTTCCCCAAGGAGAGCCCGGGTGTTGGCATGGGAACCAGGAAGGCACTGATGCCCTGAAAGAGCAGAAAACCCACCCAGTCAGTGACTCTCCCAGAGGCGGCCCTAGGCCACGCCCCCCACGCAAACCACACCAGCTACAACCCCGCCCCTTCCCCCTGCCGGTCCCTTCCCTCCACTCCCCTGGGGACCTGGAGCCATGGCGCCCTCTGCTGGCTCCTCTGGGGAAGGTGCAGACACCAGCCCGGACCAATGGCAGGCAGAGGAGGAAAAGGGAAAGAGCTCCAAGGTCCCCGGAGCAGAACAGCTCCATCGGGCCAAGGAGACTGGGATTCAGAAACTATGAAGTGGCTGCAGCCCAGAGGTCTCACCGCCTTCTCTGGGTTCCCCACCTTGTGATGCAAGGACCTGTCGGTGCTGGCAAAGACCACGGTGGCCGAGGCGTCCCAGCAATTGGTGATCCAGGCTTTGGTACCATTCAGGACCCACGAGTCACCCTCTTCCCGGGCGGTGGTGGAGGCGGCTCCCGCGTCGCTGCCATTCCCTGCCCCGCACACAGACTCAGAATCCAGCCCCCGCCCCGCCACCACCTAAGGGCACTGCTGCCGGCTCAGGTGCTGAGCAGACCTGGCTCTGGAGAGTCAGGGTCTGGCCTGGCAGCTCAGAGCAGGAAAGGGGGGTGGGGGCAGCTTCAGGCCGAAGGGACCCCAGGGCCAAGCGTCCCTCCCAGCTCAGATGAGGTGACCACCCAAGTCAGCACAGGCCAGGCCCTAGCTCCCGCCTCCCCCCTGGGGGCAGCCCCGCTCCAGTCTCACTCTGTCACCCTGATGCTGAGGTGAGGGGACAGGGAGACAGCTGTCCCACTGTGGTACCTGGTTCACTGAGGGCAAAGCAGCCAATTTTGTCGCCGCTGGTGAAAGGCGTGATCCACTTCTGCTTCTGCTCCTTGGAGCCAAACTTTAGGATGGGCCCCAAGTAGAGAGACTGTGGGGACAGAGGGGAGCTGTCGGGGGCCTTCCAGCACCTGCCCACCCGCAGACCCTACCCTAAGGCCCATTATCTCCAGAGCCGGAAAGGATCAAGTCCAGAGGAGGTCAGGAGCTAGGAACCCCAGTCCGGATGTTGGGACACATGGCCGAGGGCCTGCCCGCCCGTGGGAGCCTCCCGTCCACCTGGGCCTCTGATGTCCAGGAGGGGGACTCACGTTGTTGACGCTCATGATGACGCCGGTGGAGGCACAGCCCCGGCTGATCTCCTCCATGGCGATAGCATAGGCCAGGTAATCGAGGCCGGCACCACTCAGCTCCTCCGGCACGTCCATGGCCAGAAGCCCAAGCTCGCCCATCTTCTTCACCTGGTCTCGGGCAAGGATGTCGCAATGGCAGCCGGGAGCCAGTGCCCGCCCTCAAAGCCCCGGACCCTCCTGCCTTGGAGCCAGTGCCTGTGGCCCCACCCGCCCAATGATCCCTGAGTCCAGACGCTGAAGACCCAGCCCCGGCTGAGGTGTGTGACAGCACACCTCGTTCAAGCCATCCTGTCCCCACACTCCGCACTGGCTCACCCCTGTCTGCGGCGACAACAGAAAGCCTTCAGGAGCCGCCAAGGTGAGAAGCAGGACAGCATGGTACCACAGTGACCTTTCTGTCCCCTAAGCACATCACACACATCCTTCCAACCCACCACAAGGCCTTTGCACACGCTGTTCCCTGTCAGGAATGACCTCTATCAACCAGGTATTATCTCCTCCTCCCCTTTGGTTCTTAGCTCGAGCATCACTTCCTGGGACTGCCGCCTCTGCCCTCACTAAGCCACTATATCCTGTCATTACACACCCTGTGCCCCTCCTCGGCCGTGCTTATGCAGGGGAATGTCACCTATTTCTGTCTCATTTTGATTAAGGTCTGACCACGTGGCAGACTGTATTTTTGCTCACTGAATGGGCGAACGGTAAGAGCTGGGGATGTCTGATTTGGAGTGACGAGAAGAGTAATGGTGAGTTATCAAGTGCCTGCCTACCATGCGCCAAACTCCCCGTGAGTGCTTTGTGTGTACTCTTCCGATTCAGTCTCTCTATGGAAACGATGCCGAGTCAACCTCCTGTCCCAGGTGAAAGCGGAGCTCAGAGCTTATGGGTGATGCGGCTGGGACTGATACAGCCGGGCAATACTCCAGGATTTTAACCAGCTCAGCACACGGCCCAGCTCTGCCACCTCTGACGTAGAACGAATTCCCTAAAGTCTGGAAGCCTGCTTTTCACCAGAGAAATGTGGCCCACAACGGAACCAACCTAGCTTGAGAAGAAACCGCTCAAACCAACGGCCTCTGGGGAGCAGGACTGCGGGGAGGTGTCATTGAATTTCATCTGCCTTTTTATATCATTTGATTCCAGCAAACATGTTCTTATACTATTTTGACTTAAAAGAAGCAAAGACCCATGCACCAAGAGGTCACTGGTTCGATTCCCAGACAGGGCACATGCCCAGGTTGTGGGCCCGATCCCCAGTGGAGGGCATGCAGGAGGCGGCCAATCGATGTTCTCTCTCATCGATGTTTCTATCTCTCTCTTCTTCTCACTTCCTCTCTCTCTAAAATCAATAAAGGAAAAAAAATTTTTTTTAATTTAAAAGCTTCTGTATAACAAAAGAAACCATCAACAAAACAAAACAGCAACCAACCGAATGGGAGAAGATATGTGCAAATGATACCTCCAATGAGGGTCAATATCCAAAATATATAAAGAACTCATATAACTTATCAACAAAAAACAATCTGATTAAAAAATGGGCAGAGGACTCAAACAGACACTTTTCCAAGGAAGACACACAGCCAACAGGTACATAAAAAGATGTTCAACATCACTAGGAACTCAAAACTACAATCAGATACCATCTCACACCTGTTAGAATGGCAATTACCAATAAGAATAAATAACGAGTGTTGGAGAGGATGTGGAGAAGAGGAAACTGTCATTTATTGATGGTGGCAATGTAAACTGGTATAGCCGCTATAAAAAACCGTATGGAGATGCCTTAAAAAATTAAGAATAGAGCTATCATAGGACTCAGTGAAAAATTTGAAAACACTTATTTGTAAAGATATATGTAACCACCCTGGCCGGTTTGGCTCAGCGGTTAGAGCGTCGGCCTGCGGTCCAGAGAGACCCGGGTTCGGTTCCCGCTAAGGGCATGTACTTTGGTTGCAGTTTGTCCCCGGCCCTGGTTGGGTCATGCAGGTGGCAGCCACTCGATGTGTCCCTTTCACGTCGATGTTTCTCTCTCTCTCCCTCCCACTCTGTCTGAATAAAAAATGAAAAAATGTCCGTGAGTGAGGATTAAAAAAAAAAAAAAGATATATGTAACCCTATGATCACTGCAGCGGCATTATTTTTTTCTAATCCTCACCTGAGGATACTTTTCCATTTATCTTTACATAGAATGGAAGGGAGAGGGAGGGAGGGAGAGAGAAACATTGATGTGAGAGAGACACACTGATTGGTTGCCTCCCACACAACCCCACCCAGGGCGGGGGACAAACCAAGGTACATGCCCTTGACCAGAATTAAACCTACAACTCTTTGGTCTGTGGGCGGACTCTCTAACTGCTGAGCCAAACCAGCCAGGGCCATTGCAGCATTATTCATGGTGGCCAAGACATGGAAACACCCTAAGTGTCCTTCGATGGATGACTGGATAATGAAGATGTGGTACATATGTACAATGGAATACTACTCAGCCATATAAAGATTAAATACTGCCATTTGTGACAATAGGGATGGCTCTTGAGAGTGGCATGCTAAGTGAAATAAATCAGAGGGAAAAATGTAATAACCTGCTCCTATCACTTTGTCCCGATTAAATAAACAGAAGGCCAACTAGGAAGCTATCAGAGGCAACCTGAGGAAGCACCAGCTGGCCCGATACTCCTAAATGAATGTGTCCTCTAAGCGAATTTGTTAGTTTTTAGAACTTGGATAATAGAATGAATAGCAGGAGAGATGTGTGCTGACCCAGTTCACCCAGTTCCCTTTCGCCTCAGCTCCCTCCCCCCTCCGTTCCCTCCTGCTTATGGCTAACTGCCTCTGCTGCTGTACACGTAGCTTGCTTGCTCTGCTAACCTCTTGAGTAACCCCTGTCCTATATAAGCAACCCTCCCCCTGAGCTCGGGGCTGCCGTTCTCCTCTGTGAAGGTTGGCTGCAGTCCCTGCGCAGGTAATAAAGCACCTAATATTCAAAATTACTTTGTGTCTGAGTGAGGTTGATTCTCCTGGGTTACAACAAAAAGGACAAACACCATATGATTTCACTCATGTGGGATATAAAACAAAAATCAATAAACAAACAAAGCAAACAAACTCATAGATAAAAACAACAGAATGGTCCTGGCCGGTTTGGCTCAGCGGTTAGAGCATCGGCCTGCGGTCCAGAGAGACCCGGGTTCGGTTCCCGCTAAGGGCACGTACTTCGGTTGCAGTCTGTCCCCGGCCCTGGTTGGTCGTGCGGTGGCAGCCACTCGATGTGTCCCTTCACGTCGATGTTTCTCACTCTCTGTCTCTTCCTCTCTCTCCCTCCCACTCTATCTGTACAAAAAATGGAAAAATGTCCTCGGGTGAGGATTAAAAAAAAAAAATAAAGTACATTAAAAAAAAAACAAAAAACAACAGAATGGTGGTTACCAGAGAGAAGGGGTTGGGAAAGGAAGAGAAGGGTAAAGATGGCCAAATATATGATGACAGAAGGAGATTAGACTTTGGGGGCGAGCACACATTGAGAATACAGATGTTATATTATAAAATTGTACACCTGAAGTTTACATAATGTCATCAATCAATTTAATTTTTTTTTTTTTAATATATTTTTTTCAGATAGAGTGGGGGAGAGAGAGAGAGAGAAACATCGACGTGAAAGGGACACATCGAGTGGCCGCCACCCTCACGACCCAACCAGGGCCGGGGACAAACTGCAACCGAGGTACATGCCCTTAGCGGGAACCAAACCCGGGTTTCTCTGGACCGCAGGCCGACGCTCTAACCGCTGAGCCAAACCGGCCAGGGCCCAATCAATTTAATTTCAAAAAGAACGTCTGGCCCTGGCCAGGTGGCTCAGTTGGTTGGAGCATCATCCGGTACACCAAAAGGCTGTGGGTTCGACTCCCCATAAAGACACATACCTAGGTTGCAGATTTGATGTCCCGTCAGAACACATACGGGAGGCAACCGATCAATGTTTCTCTCTCCCTCACTCTCAAAATCAATGAAAACATATCCTTGGGTAAGGATTTAAAATGAACGTTCTGCTTCTACTGCCAGCTTTCTTGACCAGAGCAAATCTTTCTGTAATGTCAGTAATAATTTGAAGGAATACAGAAATAATAATATAGGAAAAATAAATCAAGCAGTCTGTTGTTTGGCAGGAAAAGCCCCAACACAGCCAGGTCTGGGACAACTGCTCGGGGAGAAGCACCCTCTGAACGGTTCCTGCCTTTCAGTGGCCTATTTGCTCGTTCCCGTCCTCTACTCACAGACTTTGAGTTTTTTCACATCTACTGATGGCACCGAAAGACAAGGGAAAGCTCCAGACAAGGTCACCAAGAGCAGCCTGCACGGGCATGGAGGGCTTCCCTGCCTGCCAACGGGGCTGCTGGCTAACTACGTGGATGGGGAAGAAGGGTTCTGAAGCCAGCCGGACTTGGGGTCTGAATTCTACCTCCACAGACCAGTAAACCTGGGAAAATCACTTAACTTCTCTGTGCCTCAGTTTTCTCAGCTCCAGTGAAAATAGCCATAATAATAATAATATGAATCATTATTGTTTTTCAAGTACCAGGCACCATGAATTTGACATTCATTATCTCCCTTCATCCTTGCAAGCAGTCCAGACGGCAAAATGGAGATCAGATTTGCAGATGGGGATGGGTGTCTTTAGGATTAAACGAGATGACACATTTCAAAGGCTTAACACCTGAAAGTTCCCAATTAATTTTGGTGCACAGAAGGCGACTCGCTTTTATGGCTTTGAGCTCCTTACGAATTCCCACAGTCCAGGCACACTGTGAACACATAACATTTACTAAGCTGAAAAGGGGTTCCAGGACCTAGAAGACATGTATATGTTGGCCACAACTCTTGAATTCTTCAGACTGAAAAACTGGCAAGAAGAGGTCAGAAAGGTTCACTCTGTCACCAGTTATTTATTCAACTAAGTATTTATTTCATTTTATTTTTTTCCTTTATTGATTTTTTAGAGAGACAGGAAGTGAGAGGGGGAGAGAGACAGAAACACTGATGAGAGAGAACGCTGACTGTCCGCCTCCTGCATGCCCCCCACTGGGGATCGGGCCCACAACCTGGGCATGTGTCCTGACTAGGAATCGAACCGGCAACCTCCTGGTGCATGGGTCGACGCTCAACCACTGAGCCACACCGGCCAGACTCAACTAAGTATTTATATCACATACCAGATCTCTTTCCAGGCCTGGAGGTACTGTGGGAACACCTTAACCCTGTAATCACAGTGAACAAACGGAGAACACAGCGGCATGGGAGGGAGAGTCCTGACTGACTGGGATCTCAGGGTCTGGCAGAAGACAGACTTGGGAAAAAACAGACTTGGGTACCAGCCCTAGCTCTGCAGTTCGCTGGCTCCATGACCTTGGCGCACTATTTAATCCTCTCACCAGACAGAGGTCCAATACCTGTAGAACACGGTACGTAACAATAGTAGCTTTACCTTGTAGGACTGTTGTGAGAAACAGATAAGCTAACATTGCCCAAGCACTGAAAACAGTGACTAACTGATTAAGTTTTTTTTTTTGGTATGTGCCCCTAGCGGGAACCGAACCCAGGACTCTCTGGTCCACAGGCCGATGCTCCAACTGCAGAGCCAAACTGGCCAGGGCTTAAGTTTTGAATATTATTTATTTATTTATTTATTTTTATCCTCACCTGAGGACATTTTTCCACTTTTTTTGTTCAGATAGAATGGGAGGGAGAGAGAGGAAGAGAGAGAGAGAGAAACATCGACGTGAAAGGGACACATCGAGTGGCTGCCACCTGCATGACCAACCAGGGCCGGGGAAAAACTGCAACCGAGGTACGCGCCCTTAGCAGGAACCGAACCCGGGTCTCTCTGGACTGCAGGCTGACGCTCTAACTGCTGAGCCAAACCAGCCAGGGCTTGAATATTATTATTAACACAATACCTGGCACATAGTAAACATATCGACCATCCACCGTTGTTATCCCAAAAGTTAAATCCTGGCTACAGGCCTCATGTTGGACAAGGGAAACTTCCAGAGCACTTTCTGGGTCCTAAGACCTGCCTTAGGGTTCCTTGACTGGAGTCTCAGTGTCTCTGGCTGTCACTGTCACCACTCATCCAAGAGCCGAGGGCAGACCTCCATCATGGGCTGCTGAGGCTGGTACTCACCTGATCCGCTGGGAAGCGGTGTTCCTTGTCTATCTGGGCCGCGATGGGAACCAGCTCCTTCTCGGCAAAGTCCCGGCATGTCTGACGCAGCATCTGGTGTGTCTCGGGCAGTTCAACAGACTGGTAGATAGTATGTAACTGCCGACGGAGAGCTGCCAGCGAGAACAATGGGGGTCAGCGGAAGGGGAATGCAAGAGGTCTTGTGTAATAATCGTAGTAACAGACATAGTGATCCATTAATTCAGCAGTTCACCAGGGATGGTTTTGCCCCCCCACCCCAGCCAAGCGATATTTGGCAATGCCTGGAGACATTTTTGGTTGTCATAACTTAATGGGGAAATGGGGTTGGTATGGAGTGAATAGAGACCAGGAATGTTGCTAAGAATCCTACAATGCACAGGACAGTTCCCACAACAATTATCAGTCCAAAATGTCACCAGAGCTGCTGTTGAGAACCCCCACAATAACTGCTTACAATGCTTGCTAAAACACTCTGCATATACCATCTCACTCAGTCCTCAGTATAATGCCAGTAAGAGCACAGCTCCGTGACCTTAGGCACGGGTCTTAACTTCACTGAGCCTGGCTCATATCCAATGTGGAAGACAATAGTATCTGGGAATAGGAGGACTAAAAAGATATGAATTGTACTAAAGCACATGGCCTAGCTCTCAATGAGGGTTCCCTTTATTATTATTCGGGGTGACTGGTTCTGACCAGGCCAAGGAAGGCCTGGTCGTAAGTGTCCCCCCAGTTCCAGCTGGACTGAAATGATGAAATGGGAATGAGGTAACACTGACCAAGTACGTTACAATCCCTGACATTGTATTAACTGTTTTATATACCCTGTGGCTTAATCCTTACAACTCTGGGAGAATAGTAATACATTGTCGTGGTCATTTTACACACGGGCTAATTGAGGCTGCCGGGGGCTGTGTCTTGCCCAAGGTCACAGATGCAGAGTCCTGACTCCGTTGGCAGGGCACACCCTGAATCTGCGCTGGAGGTGAAAGGTGGGGAGGGGATGCAGATGCAGTCGTGAGAACTGGGCAGGGGTTGAGGGTCAGAGCAGGAGCCGCGAGTCACTTGCAGGACGCAGGCGCGAGGTGCGACGGAACTGGGGCAAAGGGCACGCGCACTCCCAAGGCGGGGTGCACCACGCCCGCCCGTGACGGGGAGACCCCTCTGTCCGGTCTCACTGCGGCTTGGCCGGCCAACCCCGGGCCGCAGCCGGTTGTGTGGACCCCGAGAACACTCACCTCCGCGGATGGGGCCGCAGGCCCGGGCAAGCAGCGCGGCAGCAGCCATGCCTCTCCGGGACTCCAGCCGCCGGCGCTCCTGTTCCGGCTGCACTGCTCAGGGGGTGGGTGGCGCAGCGGGCCATCCAGAACACGCCTGCCCATCAAGCCTTGGGGGCGGGGCCTGTCACCGCTCCGCCCACGCCCCGCCTCCCTGGGTGGGAATTAAACCAAACTCTCCGGTGTTCGTTTTGCTCCAGCCACTCCTGCGTCGTTTCTCTTGCTACCTCTAGCTTGTTCAAGCCTCCAGGCCTTTGTAATCACTGTTCCCTGGGCTGGCAGGCCTCTTCATGCCGATCTCGCTCACTGAGGCCTGCCCTGAGCCCAGGCTAGTGTTTCTCCTACACACTCTCCATCCCATGGCTTATTTATTCGGGACACCTAGCACCTGAAATCTTATCGAGTCCCCCCAATTAATAGCCTGTGGCAAAGGATCTAGTCTTGCTCTGATGTTCAATATTCAGGCCTAGGGAATTCGGTTGCTGGGAGGGAGATTTCTTTTCCGCAGAGACTGTGAAAGTGGGGAGGGGCTGCCACTTCCCTGTGCCACTGTCTCATTCCCAATTGTGGGGCAGAGTCCCATAGCAGCAGGGGCACTGCCCCCTAATGCCCTGCATTTGGTCCTTAGCATCCTCTTTCGGACGCCTTCACTCTGCCCAAGAAGCTATGGTAATTTCACTTGCCTGACAAGGGTCTTCCCTAGGCACAAGTGAAAGTCAGATTTTCACACCCTCCCAGGCACCCGCACATCCCTCCAGCTGTCTTTCTCCCCCCATAATTTAGCCAGGCATCTGTCCCCAGCACTGATCCACAAGCCAAAAATGGTCTTCTGCTACCTCTCCACCATGTGAGGACACAGCCAAAAGGACAAATTTGCTGGTGCGTTAATCTTGGACTTCCCATCCTTTACAACTGGGAAGTAAATTTCTGTTTATTATTCTTTCAATATTTAAAATATATATTTTTTATTATTTTTAGAGAGAGAGGAAGGGAGAGGGAGGGAGAGAAACATCAATTCGAGGGCGAAACATCCATCAGCTGCTTCCTGCATGCCCCCTACCAGGGATAAAGCCCACAACCTGGGTATATGTCCTGACTGGGAATCAAACTGGCAACCTTTTGGTGCATGGGATAACGCCCAACCAAATGAGCCACACCAGTAGGGGCCATTATTATTATGTTGTTGTTACTCCTCACCCAAGGATATTTTTCCACTGATTTTTTTTAAGATAGAGTAGAAGGAAGGGATGGAGAGGGAGAGAGAGAGAGACAGAAACATCCATGTGAGATATTTATTGGCTGCCTCCCACATGACCCTGACCAGGGCCAGGGATTAAGCCTACAACCCAGGTATGTGCCCTTGACCAGGAATTGAACCAGCGACCCTTTGGTCTGGGGGCTGACACTCTAACTGCTGAGCCAAACAGGACAGGGCTATTTTTTTTTTTTAATCCTCACCGGATGATATGTTTTTATTGATTTTAGAGAGGGAGGCAGGGAGAGGGAGAAAGAGAAACATCGATGTGAAAGAAATACCGATTGGTTGCCTCCTGTACATCAATCAGTTGCTTCCTGTGTACCCCAACCAGGAATCAAACCCGGAAGCTTTTGGTGTATAGAACAATATTCCAACCAACTGAGCCACCCAGCCAGGGCCTCTGTTATTTTTTTAAATTTTTTTGTCTTCCACCAAGACCTTGCTCTATTTCCTAGAGATGAATCAAAAGATACAGCTAAGTCCTTAAAATGTTACCTTTCACTTAAAAGAAATGCTGAAATTTGAGGGTTTTTTTGGGTTTTTTTTTGGTACGTGCTCCTAGCAGAAACCGAACCCGGGACTCTCTGGTCCACAGGCTAACGCTCCAAACGCTGAGCCAAACCGGCCAGGGCAGAGATGGTGAAATTTAAAAAGCCTCTAGTTCACAGCCTTTTCCTTCCTCCTCTTTTTCTCCAGGACACATTACCTTTGCCTTTCTCTCTCCTGAGCTCCAAGGGCTAAAACAAATGACTGTCTTTGGTAAATCCTCTGAGATCTTCCTCACCTTTCCATCACCCCACCTGGCCACTAGCCCTATGTAGAGGAAAAGAGGGAAAAGCAGAGAAGAAATAAGTAAGTCATGTTTGTGGACAGAGGCCAATAATTGCTTCAGGTGCCCCAGACTATCTAAACCAGACTTTTTAAAATTGAATTGTGACCTTAAGCAGGTATATACATTTTATATTAAAAGTATGCAAGTTGCCCTGGCCAGTTTGGCTCAGCGGTTAGAGCACTGGCCTGTGGACCAGAGAGTCCTGGGTTCGGTTCCCATTAAGGGCACGTATCTTGGTTGCAGTTTGTCCCCGGCCCTGGTTGGGGTTGTGTGGGTGGCAGCCACTCAATGTGTCTCTCGCACATTGATGTTTCTTTGTCTCTCCTCCTCCCTTTGTCCCTCCTGCTCTATCTGAAGTTAAATGCAAAAATGTCCTTGGGTGAGGATAAAAAAATATATATATATAAAAAATTTTTTAAAGTATGCAAGTTTTCCAACAGACAGTGGGTGCAAGGGGCTGGAGTGAAAGGAGGAAACTGGCCACAAACACCAGGAACTCGAAAGAACTTTTTTGGGGTTATGGAAATGCCCTGTATCATGACTGGGATGGGGGTAAGAAGACTGTATACATTTGTCAACACTCATCAAACTTTACTCTTAAATGAGGTGAATTTTACTGTAGTTAAAACACACCTTAACTTTTAAATATGTATATAAATTTTTTTTTTTTTTTTTAATCCTCATCCGAGGACATTTTTCCATTTTTTGTACAGACAGAGTGGGAGGGAGAGAGAGGAAGAGAGAGAGAGGGAAACATCGATATGAAAGGGACACATCGAGTGGCTGCCACCCGCACAACCAACCAGGGCCGGGGACAAACTGCAACCGAGGTACGTGCCCTTAGTGGGAACCGAACCCGGGTCTCTCCGGACCACAGGCGGACGCTCTAACCGCTGAGCCAAACCGGCCAGGGCAAATATGTATATAAATTTTTAATTCTCAAATCTTTAATTTGCAAAATAAAGTGAAAACATTAAACCTAAAGCTCAATACTGTTCTCCAATCACCCTAGAAACCAGTTATGCTCAAATTATTCAAAGAAAGGCCATCCCCACCCCATATCTGCTCCCCCCAGCAACACAAAAGGCCCAGTCCAGAGACAAAAGAGGGTACATATACTGTGAAAATTTTTCTTTTATTTCTGTCTCTTGTGGCAAAATAACACTTTATACAAATAAGTCACCTAGTTTACTTTGGACACAAAGACAATACAAACTGGAATGAGGAGGTGCGCCAGCCCCTCCCCCAGGAGACCATCGTGGAGGCCAACCCTGCTCCACTATAACCACGTGCTACCGAAAGGCCGATAGGATATGTCGAAGGAGATGCAACAGGACCCATGGAATGTGCAGGCGTTGGAGAAATGTAACACAGAGAAGGATACTGTGGCCCACATTAAGGAGTTTGAGATGCTCTCCCTCTGGGGAGCATGGCTATGCCTTTCCCTTTCCCCTTCCTACCCGCTTTGGCTCTCTCTCCGAAGCTCTAAGGACCCTTCTTCTGCCTCTGTAACTTGTTTTCTGAGCCTCTGCAACCCAGATGGCGCACTTCTCCTTTCTCTCATAACTTGGGTGGGGGAGGGGGAGTTTGACAAGAAGTACAACCCCACCTGGCACTGCATCATGGGGAGGAACTTCGGTAGTTACGTGACACATGAAACCAAACACTTCATCTTCTACCTGGGCCAAGTGGCCATTCTTCTGTTCAAATCTGGTTAAAAGCATGGACTGTACCACACACCCAGTGATCCATCCAAAAATAAGGATTGCAGCCTAAATTCCAAATACCAGAGACTGAAATCTTCAGCCTTGCCTAAAGGAACACCTTGATCTTGAACCTTTAGTGCGTCGTTTTGTACAGGGCATTCTCTGTACTCACTTGTTGTGGTTATAAAACAATTAGCAAAACAGCAAAACAGAAAACTAAAAACTGGAATGAGGATCTCAGGTGAAGAGGAAAGAGAAGGAAGGGCAGATCAGGTCATTGATGATTCTCAACTCTGGGAAAAATAGATTTACAGGGAAAAAATAGACTTTTACAACTTCAGTGACTTTACATGGTCCTTGTCAAACAAGGGGTAAGTCCACCTCACCAGTCCCTTGTGTGGCTAAGACTGTTCTGTAACGTGGAATGTAGCAGGTGGTTCACGAGAAGGCCCACACAGGTACGGCAGCACCCTCTGCATCAGGAATCCTTGCGCACTGGCATGGCGTCTGCACTAGGATTTCTAGGATAGTCGTCATTCTCCAAACCTTCTGGGGACAATGGCCACCAGAAAAAATGATTTTACAGAGGAAAAAGAGTACCCTGGGAGCCTACCAGCAGGGCAGAACACACTAAGGCAAGCTCACCCTATCTGTACATTAGACACAGCCTCTTATATCTACTCCACAAATGAGTTCCACTTCAACTGAAAAAATATGTTGAAGATTTCTGTCATTGCCATTTTAAGAATCACCAGTCTATGGGTTAGACCCAACGTTCCCAAATCACTGCCCTTATTTGGGAATCATTATTTGGGTGGCCCAAAGACGATGGGTGTCTTCAGGGAGTCTTACATGCCCCTGAAGACTACCTTCTCTTCAAGATAACTCTGAGCTAACACATAAGGAGAGGGCAGCCTATTTTATACCAGAACTACTGTTATTTCCTGTTTATTCTTTAGAACACAGAATAAAATAAACCAGGATCTTCTTTGGAGAAGCTAGAAGGGCATCTTAGCCCAAAGGCTTTACAGGAAAAGAGAGGCTCTCTCCCAGGAGATTCCAAGGCAGAGGGTCAAGAGCAAAACAAGAGAGGTAGCAGGCCTCGTGGTACCAGGTGAGCCTGCCAGTCCACTGGAACAAGCTCCCTCCAGGGCCGCCTCTTAGATGCCAGCCCTGAATAGAAAGCATGGCCTCCCACACAGGGACTTTTGTTCCTCCCATTGTATCACCCACAAGATAATGGCTATCAACAGTCCAGATTCCTTCCTAACATGACCTCCTGTCCTACTTCAACTTTTGACTGTTTCAGATACTTTCAGAGAAAGTATGACTTCCAATTCTCTGCCCAAGTCAAGTACAAAAGCTTGAATTTCAAACTCACCCTGGTTAACACCCCAGAGTGGTGATGCTTCTCAAGATTTCCTGAGTAGCTGGACACAAAAACCCAGAGTCTCAGACATAGAACACCAGATCTTCAATCGCAGACGACAATTCCTATCTACTGGGCACTTTGAGCACTTGGCCTCAAAATGGTCTCCAGGGAGACTAAGGCAAGCTAGTGGGGAAGGGGACACAGCACTATTCAAACCAGAGTGCCTGCCTCCTCTGCCCTGCTGGTCCTCCTCCTCACAAAAGCTAGTATACAAGACACAATCTTCCCTGGGACACATTTCCAAAACACACTCTACTGAGCAGAGCTTAGGACAGCAACAGAAACCACAGCCTAGATGCTAATTAAATATCAAATAATAGAAACTCTTCTGATTGGCTGTGTCACAGGAGGGGTGATTCTGAAGCTCAAAAGGAACAACGTGCTGGAGGAGCCACAGTGAGAAACAGGACAGGAGGCAGTGCTGACGTCTGCCCACGGATGGGGAGGAAATGAGGGCAATGCAGCCTTCCCCAGCAGCATAAGGAGCAGAGCCCCACGTAAGGCACCTGGATTTGTAGTCAGCTCCAGTTCTGAGATTTCCTCTGGTCTGCAGGGTGCCTGGTCTCTTCCTTCCCTCACTGGTTGTATCCAGTGCTGGCACACAAGGCTAACTGAGGGCTTTCTCAGTGAGAAAGCTGTCAGCATCCGGCACAGCCCAGACTCTGGCCTGGCACAAAGCACTGGGCCAAGGTTCAAGACCACTCGTGCTCTAGAACCAAACTGGGGGCCACATTGGTCTGTGAATGCAGTTCTGGCCATCTTTCCCTGGCCTCATACAGCCTTCCTCTCACATACTTTGGGAAACAGCTCTCCTGTCAGTACCTGTAATGGTGACAGTGACTATTATCACATACCTGGGACCTCCCTACAACTACCATCCTATCAATGCTAAATCCTGGCCACAGCAACAATCATGGAATGGGCTGAGCACCTAAAGCCACCCACACAGTCAGACAACCGCAGGGAGAGAAGGAGGTGAGAGTATACCCAATAAAAGCCTGAGAGTAAAAGCAGCAGATGTACAAGGAAGCTTTTCCGAGAGCACACCTCTCTGATTGCAACAGGTGAAACAGGCTGAGAGGCCTCACACCCAAAAAGATTCCAACTAGCACACTGCAGGATCAGATATGCATTACTTAGATCTGACTTGCCAGGATGATTCCAGAAAATACTTCAGTAGAAAGGCAGACAGAAAAATCCTCCTAAATAAGAAATCTATAGAGTTTTAGAGGCAAATCCCCATCAAAAACCAATCCTCCGGGTTATGCTGTGCAGAGAAAATCAAATGTCTCCTTTAAGCAGCTGCTGGTTTGTAACTATACCAGCCCCAACTATCACAAGTTTAACTGCGTATCACATACACTGGGAACACCAATGGTATTTTATAAAACCTCCCAAAAAAGAAGTCTGGGGGAAACACACACACACACACACACACACACACACACACACACAATGAGGCCTGCTCTGGCCTCAAGAGAGATGATTATTCCAAGAGCAAAACAGACACATTCTGTTTCAGAAGGTGATCAAAAGGTAGGAGCCCAGAGAAGCAGAGCAAGCTCACCTACCCTCCAGTAAGAACAGGAAGGCACTGCCAGGCTGAAACCTTGCGGGATCCCCAGATGGACTGGTTGGGGACTGTGAAAGTCAGGCAGATGAGCAGGTCTCTCTGTAAAATGGACCTTCAGGGTGGCAGCCTTCCCCAGCCCTAGTGCCTCACCTGGCACCACTCCTCCCCTCCAGCCCCTTTCAAGTTTCTTCCCAATCGGTTTACAACTATGCACAGATGGTGCTGATGGCAACACCGGAAATAAGAGGAGATGCCCGGAAGAGGCTGACTTTGCAGCTTCCCACAGCACCCAGGAACCTACAGAAGGCCCTAACCTGCAGGCTGGCCAGAGCCTCCTCACCCAGGCATAGCTGTGCCAGAGACCCACGATCATCAGGACAACCAGTAGGCAGCTATGACTACATGAAAATAAACTTTCTTTTATATCTGGATTTGAGAAACCTTATCCTAATCTTTTACTCTACTATATAGTACCTCTGTAACCTAAGGGGCAGGGGAAAAAGGGGAAGAAAAAATACTGGGGAAGGAAACACAGCACTGCTTGGCACCTCTCTTGAAGCACAAGAAACTACCACCCCAGCCTTGGCTTCCTGGGGCCAGGTTCCAGGCGGGTGACATACAGCAGCTTTAAGCACTTCCGTGTGCCAGGACCACGGGCCGCAGCAAAGCACCTCCCCTGTCCAGTCCCACAGCAGTTACTGGCCTCCGTTATAGGCATAATCAGCCTTGTTGTGCATTATCAGCTTGTTGTCAACAAAGTAGAAGCTGTCAGAACGGGTCTCGTAGGGATTTTCAATCATCAGACGAACTGTAAGTCAGGGAAAGAAAAAATGCAAAGGCATAGTGTGAGTCTGTCCCATGGTCTAGGTGGAAAAAAAATTAGTATCACCTGTAAAATTCATAAGCTGGTCTTCAGGAAAATGTGAGTACATTCAAAGAATAATGAGGTCAGAACAGGGGGAGCCAGCCCTTAATGCTGGGGAGAACTGGGGACCACAGAGGCCTCAAAACTGAACATGATACCACTTCAACATACCGACCCAATCTCTCACTGACAGGCCCTCCTTGGTCGTCTCAAACCTGGATTCTGAGTCGGCTCCCCAGGGGAATGTGCTTACCCTTTTGCCAACATGGACCACAGCAACTTATTTACTCAGTGCTTCTCTGTTCCCCTAGACATTCCTGCCAAATACAAAAGGCTGGGCCTCCCTATGCCACTGCCCACGAGAACCCCTGGCAACCAAGGGAATCCTAGGTGAATGTGAGTGCAGGGGCCGGAGGGCAAGGAGCCTTCTCCAGGGACGGCTCAGGGTACTGACTTGGAAATGATGCAGCAGCAGGTCTGTCTTAGGATCCAGAATTAAATCTTGTTTGTTCAGGCCATTGCTCAGGGCTCTTTAACCACACTGGAGAGTCAAGCTAATTAAATAGTCACTACCTCTGACCAATTTGGAGTTAATGATTACATGCTATTTTGAGTCCTCTAGAGAAAATGTTATTTTTCACCACAGTTCTAAAAAGGTAAAACTGATTGTTTAAATTTCTTTGAACCCACCCAGGCCAAAGTTACTTGGTTTATAAGCAGTATGTTGACCTCCACACTCTTTTAGTTTATTTGATTTCAAGAAAAAAAGTTATATTGACTCTGGCAAAAACAAAATGTCATACATAATCTTTTTTTCCTAGTATCTACAGATTCCAGCCCATCTTTGGGAGTAGGGTTCAAACTAGGATCAGGTGCTGTCATAAACACCTACCCCACATCCCGGAAATCCTCATTTCACCCGGGAACAGTATGCCACACGAGTTAAGAGTACCTGGTTGTCAGAATATGACAATTTTAAGGACCTTCGGATTCTGAAAAACTACTCAGTAGAAGTAGATCCTTCCCCACAACCCAACTAAATTCCACCACTATTCACAGGCTCCCAATCACATCCTCACTGTTCTGGAGATATTTTCCTTAATCTCTAACAGAGGATGCAAACCTGAGAGAGCTAGACCAAAGTCACTGACACTGAAAAAGCCTGTTCTTGCCTGGCCAGTGTGGCTGAGTGGTTGAGCGTCAACCCATGCGCCAAAAAGTCGCCAGTTTGATTCCTGGTCAAGGCACATGGCCAGGTTGTGGGCCAAACCCCCAGTGGGAGGCATGTAGGAGGCGGTCAATCGATGTTCTCTCTCATGGATGTTTCTATCTCTCTCTCCCTCTTCCTTCCTCTCTCTCTAAAATCAACAACAACAACATTTTTTTTAAAAGCCTGTTCTTTCCTTCCTACAGGGCCATCACTGCCTTTGCCTCTGCTACTCTCTCTGGTGCCTTCCTTGGTTCCTCCCCTGCAGACTCCAGGGTCCTCTCAGGCACTGCTTCCACCATGTCACTCCTGCTCCAAACCCTGGGACAGCTCCCTATTTCCTGCTAGATCCAATCAACCTTCCTATTGCAGAGAATGAGCAAGAGGAGGTCCTCAGACCTATGATTTGATTTAGCCCCCCGTTTCATGTCTAGCTGGGATTAAGGAAAAAGTGAGAATGCCGAGCAGATGATAGAACACGGTGGGAAACCATGACTGACAGTGAATAGGAGAAGTACTTCATCTAATCAGAGCGCCAGAGACTGTCATGGGCCTCCCCTTCTGTCCCTCAGTCATTCCCTTTCCCACAGCAAGCATCTAAAAGGGATGGCCTGTGTTATTAAAAACTTCCATGCTCCAATACAGGCAGTATCACGTCAGAGTTTGAAACATTAGACAGGAGCAACCGGAAATGAGAAGCCTGATGTCAAATGACTGGAGATGCATCACATCATGATTTCCCTCCTCTGCAAAATGAGGGCATTGGACCAGACGGATTTCAAGGTTCGTTCCTTCTAGCCCAAGAATCTAGAATGTTGTACAAGTCGGAGATACGTACTGACATCCTCAGAAAGCTGGGGAAACTCATAGATATGTTCACAAGTGTTCCTGCTGCTGGGGATGCAGAAGCCGAAATCAAAGTCAAAGTTTTTCAGCAAGCGCTCCCGGAAATAGTGCCGTTCGATCATCCGGAAGTTTGACACAGGTTTGTCTCCCACAGTGAACTCCACCCTGCAAAATAAATCTCTGTGAGCCTTACTTTGTCCCCACCTTCCTCTAAAGCCAACCCAACTGAGAACATTATTCTCGGTAAACAAGCAGAGTGTTCTCCCCTCAGGAAATACTGGTACTCACGTAGCCCCAACTGTCCGGAGGCGGAGAAATGCTGGTGTGAACTGATAGCGGACGAAACGTCCTGCACTGATATCCACATCTCCACCTTCCTCCTCCTCCTCCTCCTCTTGGTCTGAAAGCGCACACAGAATCTTGAGTGTACCATCTCGGCACCCCAGTCCAAACAGCACAATCAACAGTACTACCACGACCAGCAGGCTGGCCAATACTTACTGTGCCCTTGTTATATGCCAGTCCTGTGCTAATGGCTACAGAGAATCCTCACAACCACCCTGTGAGGTGTTACTATTATCACCATTTTATACACCAGGAAGCTCAGGCTCAGAGAGGTTAGTGCCATGTCCAAAGTCTCTCAAATAGTAAATGAAGGGAGCAGAAATTTCAATCCAGGTCCATCTGACTAAAGGTCTGTTGACCAAGTTGATATGGCAGCCACTAACCAGAAGAATGAGACTACCCAAGTTAAAACTAGTCAAAAGGCTCCCTCAGAGAACACAAACATTTCTGACAGGCAGCAAAGACAAACCCCTAAAAAGAATTCTGTTGCTTGCCCTGGCCAGTTTGGCTCAGCGGTTAGAGCGTTGGCCTGCGGTCCAGAGAGACCCAGGTTCCCGTTAAGGGCACATACCTTGGTTGCAGTTTGTCCCCGGTCCTGGTTGGTTGTGTGGGTGGCAGCCACTCCATGTGTCCCTTTCACGTAGATGTTTCTCTCTCTCTCTCTTCCTCTCTATCCCTCCCACTCTATCTGAACAAAAAATGGAAAAATGTCCTCAAGTGAGGATAAAATAAAGTAAAATAAAATAAATAATTCTGTTGCTTAAATGGAAGACACTGACCTAAGCCTTGGAGTATGGTATTTCCCGGACTGATGCCTATTCCAGGCCACACTGGGCCCGATACTGACCACCTGGAAAAGGATGAAACACACTGGCGATGAACCAATGTGTGAGACCTGAATGAGGGTCCACAGGGTAATGATGGTCTCTGGTCTAATCCATTCCTGAAACCAGGAAGCAAAAAATGTGTGAAATAAATCAGAAAACCATTCTGATGTGAACAAAAAGATAGTTCCCTCTAGTAGCCATCCAGTGTCCAGCAAGGATACTTTCTCCAGGTCTAGGATGAACATGGGTACAACGTAAGAAAAGTCTTTTTTTTTCCATTGATTTTTAGAGAGTGGAAGGAAGGGAGGGGGGAAGAGAGAGAGGAAACATCAACATCATTATGAGAGAGACACATCAACTGGGTGTCTCCCGCATGCACTCTGACCAGAGTCCAGGACTGAATCTGCAGCCCAGGTGTGTGCCCTTGACTGGAAATCTAACCCGAGACACTTCAGTCCACAGGCTGACACTCTAAACACAGGGCAAAGAGAAGCCTTTTTAGCATCAAACATCTCTGCCTGTGACAAACCCAAGAGCAAGGGGGCAAGCAGCCTGAGTAGGGTTTGTACCCAAAGACTCTAGAGCCCTGGCTCCAACCATGTGATTCAGAGAGTCAGATCAAATCTTCTCAGGGATTCCAACTCATCAGAACAAGTGCTGCTGGAGGGAACTGACTCAGTGTGAGTGCCTTCTAAGTGAACCAAGATGCTTAAAGGTAAAGACTTGGAGAGGTTAAAAAGCAAAGTATGTTTATAGTACCTGCAGCTAACATTCTTGAGCCAGTTCAGTTTTGTACTGAAATGACTACTCTGAGCCCAGTCTAATTCAAATACACATAACATGAAGTAGTCCTAGGGTCCTTGAAAATCCTAAGTACTAAGGCATGTGGCTTTGGGATGTGAACTCCCCCGACCCGGGAAACTAGCTGGCCCCGACCCTCTCAAATAAGCTAGGTACTCACAAGCTTGAGCCTTTAGGTGCCTTGATCAGTACTAGATTACAGCAGCATAAAAATACTGGGTGGGGTGAGACCAGGACTCTAACCTTGATTATGCAGCTAACTTGAAATGAGACTTTCTCAGGAGAGTCTTTCAACTTACCAAATATACAGGCTCTTTCTAAGTAGCAAGTCAGATGAGAAAAGCTTTGCAGAAAGACTTATTATTTTTTACAATGTTTTCATTTTTTTTAAAATGTTTTTATTTTTTATTATTTTTTTGTTAAAGAGAGAAAGCTCTAGTCTTTCTCTTCTTTTTTTTTTTTTAATCCTCACTTCAAATATGAGACATTTAAAGTATTGCTCAGTGAATATTCATATAGTTGTCATCTAGATGCAAAATGAACATCTTTATTTATTTATTTAAGACTCATCTGTCTGCGGGCCAATGCTCCAAATGCTGAGCCAAACTGGGCAGGGCAGTTTTTATTGATTTTTACAGAAAGAGTGGAAGGGAGAGAGTGAAACATCAATGAGAGAGAGACATGGAGTGGCTGCCTCCCGCACACCCACTTCGAACCTGCAACCTAGGCACATGCCCTGATGAGGAATCAAACCTACCACTTCTCAGTACATAGGACGGTGCTCAACCAACTGAGCCACCCCAGCCAGGGCCAGACAGACTAATGGAGACCACAGCTAATAATACTCTGAAGGGTTATCTTTGCTGGTGTTCTAACAACTAACTCCAGGGGGTGCTAAATCTCCAGTGATGTGCTCCAAAGACAGTGTGGTTCCCCAGCCAGAAATGAATCACCCTGAAACTGTATCAAAAGCACAGGAAGCCTCTATTCAAGGCTAATTTAAGGAATCCCAAGGAGATGAGGTCATAGGCCTGGGCTTTCTGTTCATCCAGAAAAAGGTGGAGATTAAAACCCAAACTAGGACTTATTGGGAAATATGAAACACTGTTCCAAGGAAAGAAAGTGAAAAAACAGGTGAAACTGCTTCATGGTCTGGCCTGGACTCCTCAGTATCACCCTTCTAGAGTGTCCCCAAGACCCAAGGCTCAGGTGAGCATTCCTCATTACAGTTTAATTTCAAGGATTCCTTTCCTAAACAGAGGCAACATGGTAAGATGAACAAGCACAGGGCCTTAGGAAAGTCACTTAGAATTCTGGGCCTCAGTTCCCTTATTGGTAAAATGGGGATAATAACTCCTCCCGGAGGTGTGAGGATTACATGAGCTGATATAAACAGTAACCAGCACAAACATCAGCCTCTTAACTCAGCTTCAAACCAGCATGCTGGCAGGCCAGGCTTCCGGAGGTCATGGAAGTGGGACACACTAAAGCCCGTGACACAGGGTGCAATGGCCACAAAAACGCAAGCTCCAAAGGCCTTTTGCTCCAACTATCAAGTGACCGTTACAATATAGAGGCGTACCTGAAACACAAGGCTTGGCAATCTCAAAAAGCACTGTCCCTGTCTCCAAATCTCGAATTTTGAAGCGGGTGAAATCAATACTGTAGATGTTGTCTTCGGGTTTACATAAATAATCTGAAAATGAGAAAGAGAGAGAGAGAGAGAGACCAATGCCATTAAATAATTCTCCAAAACTACCATTCATTTATTTCTCGAGTTTTGAGGCAAACTCAGGTTTTTTTCTTACACAATTCACTTAAATATATACAAAAACTTCTTCTTATGTTATAAACAGTTGTGTGTGGAAAGAACTAGGGGATCCAAGAAAGAAAAAAGACACAGACTTGATGTGGATGGATTATCATAACGCCTTCAGAAACAGGAATAAAAAAAGATTTCTTTGTAAATACCTCAAAAATGGCCTACACACCTTTCATGATCTATCAACTTGGATGTCACAAAAGGGCAGAATTTTTTTTTAAACTTCATTTTAAAACACTGATATTGATCTTATGACTAGCAAAGTATCACAAAGTAGAGACCAGCAAACTTTTTCTGTGAAGGTCCAGATCATAAGTAATTTAGGCTTTCCAGCCACTCAGTCTCTGTTACAACTATTCAACTCTGTCACCATAGTGCAAAAATCAGCCAGACAACATGTAAATGAATAAGCATGGCTGTATTCTAACAAAACTATTTATGGACACTGATATATGAATTTTATATAACCATATGTTTGTTGCAAGATAGTATTCCCCCCTACACAACTATTTAAAAATCGAAGAACCAGCCCTGGCCAGTTTGGCCCTGTGGTTAGAGCGTCGGCCCGAGGTTTGGTTCCAGAGAGGCCCAGGTTTGGTTCCTGCTAAGGGCATATATCTTGGTTGCAGTTTGTCTCCACCCCCTGTTGGGGTTGTGTGGGTGGCGACCACTTGATGTGTCTCTCTCACATAGATGTTTCTCTCTCTCTCTTCCTCCCTCTCTCCCTCCCGCTCTATCTGAAGATAAATGCAAAGAAAAAAGGAAGAATCATTCTTGCTTGTGGGCTGAACAGAATCAGGTGGTGTGCCATACCTGCGCAGGCAGCAGGACAGACTTGGTAGTGAGGGTTTTAGGCCAAAGTGGAGTACAGCCCACAACAACCTGAGTAGCTAATCAAAATAGTATCTATTGATCATGGAAAATTTCAGATTTCTTTCTACAATAACTCCTGACAGTATCTTTTTTCACACTCATTCTGGAGCTTTATTTTATCTTGCTGGCTTGCGTTAGTTGTTTCATGTTTTACCAGCTTTCTCTCCAGTAAGATGGCAAATCTGAGAGCTACTGATTATTCTGTAACTCCTAAAAAGGCTGACATTGGTTCTGCATTTTTTTTTTTTTTTAAAAAGACCTTTTATTTATTTATTTTTTATCCTCACCCGAGGACATTTTTCCATTTTTTGTTCAGGTAGAGTGGGAGGGAGAGAGAGGAACAGAGAGAGAGAGAGAGAAACATCGATGTGAAAGGAACACATCGAGTGGCTGCCACCCGCACAACCGACCAGGGTCGGGGACAAACTGCAACTGAGGTACGCGCCCTTAGCGGGAACCGAACCCGAGTCTCTCAGGACCGCAGGCCAACGCTCTAACCGCTGAACCAAACCGGCCAGGACGGTTCTGCATTTTTAACGGGTACTCAATAAATAACGTGCAGAATGGAACAGACTTTAAGAAGAGTAACAAGCCCTGGCCAGTGTGGCTCAGTTGGTTGGAGCATTGTCCCATGCTCCAAAAGGTTGCAAGTTCAATTTCCAGTCAGGGCACATACCTAGGTTGTCGGTTCGATACCCCATTGGGATGCGTACAGGAGGCAAGCGACTGTGTTCCCTCTCACATCACGTTCCCCTCTCTCTCTCTCCTTTCCCTCTCTCCAAAATCAATGAAAATATATCCTCAGGTGAGGATTTAAAATCTAGAGGTCACCAAGCTCTGACCTGTGGCTTTCTCTAGTGACTTGCAGAGCACTAATCCCAAGCTCCTACACAGGACCTGAGTGCCCACCAAGAATGCTGCTTTGGGCCAGGCACTAGAATGGCCTAATTTATCCCTGATATCAGGATAAAGCATGAGGTTAGAAATGCCAAGTGATGAACACTTCTGCACCTTCAGAGTCCCAAATGAAAACTGGGTCAGACAGAAAAGCTTTTTCACAATGTTTCAATGAAAGTGAATAGAAAGACCTTCTAAAGTGAATAGAAAGACCTCTGGTATGCAAAGGACAGTCCCAGCCCAAACAGTAGTGAAAAATAAGGACATCAAAATATCTAGAATCAAATTAAAACTATTTTGTAGGAGATGGGAATTCCTTTTTATACAGTCTGGACCAAGGCCTACCCCACCCCCAGAAGTACACCTGAGCAGCCCTAGGTTGACAACGAATGCAATTCAGCAGATAACACTATGGCAGCCTCAAATCCATCAAGGGAGAGCTGGCGTTGCAGGGTTAAATGGCTGAAGAGCAGGGGGGATGGGCAGGGCAAGCAGGGCCTAACCAGGTGACTGTAAACTCCGGGAATGGAGGGGAAGGGGGAGACGGCAAGAGAAAAGATATCAAGTCAGGGCTTGGCTTGAAAGAAAACAGAGAAAGGGAGGAGGAGACCCAGGATAAGGAGTGGGCAATATATTTCTTCCCACCCTCCCTTATATCAACGAAAAGGTAGGTGTAGGATGGTTGCATTTTATGCTATAAATGCATTTCCGAAACCGACATAATTCTTAATTCACTCCAACAAGTGTCAAAAGCAGGATTCACATTTCAGATTTTGTACGCAAACTGAAACTTTATTATTTTTTAATGTGGCACTGTTTTAAATTTTCATGAAATGCCACGGCAACATGTTTTAGGAAGGAAGAGCCCACCTGCACACAAAGGGGCAATGCTTGGGACCAAAAGGGGTCGGGGGCCAAGGCGGGCTGGGAAGGGTGGAGTGGAGGGCAAGACAGAGAAAGCAGGTAGGGGTCTGGGCTGCACGAGCTGCGAGTAGACGGGGTGAGGGGGCGAGGGGGCCTGATGGCTGGGGGTGTTCCAGAACGAGGGCGTATTGGGCCCATTTACCAGGATCGGCTAAGCTCTGTGGCCCCCACCCAAGCAAGTCCAGCGGAGAGAGGAACGGCCCAGCCCGGGGCCGCAGCCCGGGGCCGCCAGACTCAGGGTAATGCAGTTAGGCACAAGAGGAGCCCCTTCCCAACCATGTCTAGGTGACGGTGGGAGCGCAGGCCCGATCCGACGGAGCTGGGGGCAGCGCGGCCTGACTGGGTGGACCTCGGGCCGGTCGAGCAGCAAGCGGCGGGCTCCGCTGCAGGCTGACGGGGGCCCGAGGCCCGGCGCGAGGGGAGGGCGCGGCCGGCCCGGCACTCACTCTCGGTGACCCGGCTGAGGCGCAGGACGTGCTCGGGCCGGATGGTGTCCAGAGCTAGCAGCTCCTGCTCCGTGACCGCTGCCCCGATGCTGTCGTCGGCCGCGTGGTGGGGCGCCTGCCGCCGCGCCTTGAGCCGGTTCAGGACGCCGCCGCCTGCTTTCTTCTTCTCCTCCTTGCCAGCCACCAGCCCCCGGGGCCCAGCCGTCGACCCCGCGCCCGCCGCCTTCGGGTTCGACCCGCTCATCGCTCCGCCGCCAAGATGGCCGCCGCCTCCACAGCGCCGTAACTATGGAGAGCGGGGGCGTGGCCGGGGCGGCACCTGGGGAGGGGGCGGGGCCTGAGGGGCCGCCCTTTCGCCAGCTTTGTTCCAGCCAGGTGGTGGGCCTTAGGGGTGTCTGCGAATTTAGTAACAGCCCCATACTCTATCAGGCCCCCAAAGTCACCCCAAATGTTTTTTAAAACAATACCTCGTACGGTCAGATGACTGTCATATACACAAGACATCTTGAGAAAATGTTTTTTAATCTGTAGTATACAAGGTAAAGTTAAAAGTTTGCTATGCAAAGGCAGCTTTCCAATTACTTCCAGTTTGCTGGGAGGCTGTGAAGTACACACTTCATTATGTGACCCTTCCTCTTGACCAGCCCAGTTAAGTGTGAATGAACCAGAGGACAGACCAGAGTGCTGACTGCTGTAAGAGGGTACATACAGCAAAGGGGCTACCTGAGTACCCAGGAGTGGTCTGGGGGATCAGGGGAGGCTTCACAGGTGACTTCTGCATTGAACCTTGTAAGTTAATCACGATTTCACCAGTTGGAGGAGGTAGGTAGAGGTGGGGGCAAGGCTGCCTTTTTACAACCCAAGTGGCTCCTTCTCTAAGGATTCTGTATCCATACTCTTCTGTGTTGGAGGCCTGGGCCAGACTGATGCAGTGTCCGCTGATCTGATTTCACCTCTCAGGCCAAACTCTCCCCTCTCCCATGGTCAGCCTCAAGACTTGCTGGGTCCATTTGATCTGATGGGAGGAGCTTGGAAAGGGTTGACAGGCCTAGCCTGGTTCTTGGACAAAATCCAAACCTGACTCCACCCCAGTTGCCCAGCGTAGGACAGTATGTGGCCAGGTTCCTATCTAATGGTGTCCTGTCTTTGCGAGATTACCACTGGCTGGCACTTACCAGACCATTCAAGGAAATTTTAATAGATGTGTACAAAGAATTAAAGTCTTTCCTCTTTGCAAACAACTCTTTTTAAACCACTCAGCAGTGAGTGGTTACTGAAGAATTTCCAGAACTTTTAATATGCTACTACTTGATTGTGAATCACCAAGAGGGGGGTTTCGAATGTAGCCACTTCCCACTCACTTGCTCACTGGATATGTATTCTCAGGGCACCAGGACTTGAGTTACCTGGTCCCCAGCTTTTCTTTCTAGGGATAACAAATGTATTAACTCCTTTACTTGCAATTCCACATCCAGGAATTTAGCCTACATGTAAGCACAAAGATTTTTACTGCATGACCCTTTGTAACATTTAAAAAATCACCATAAATTACATTTGCATTCATGTTTTACAGCTGGTAAAAAGAATGAGATCCATCTATATGGACTTGTATAAAGAGATCTCAAAGATCTATTAAGAGTGGCAGGAATATAGACTCCCATTTGTTTTAAATAAAAAGTATGCCCTGGCCAGTTTGGCTCAGCGGTTAGAGCGTCTGCCCTCAGACCAAAGGGTCTCGGGTTTGATTCCGGTCAAGGGCAGGTACCTCAATTGTGGTTAGATCCTTCGCCCTGGTGGGGGTCGTGCGGGAGGCAACCAATTGATGTGTCTCTCTCACATTGATGTGTGTCTCTCTCTCCCCCTCCCTCCTACTCTATCTGAAGATACATGGAAAAATATCCTCAGGTAAGGATTTAAAATAAATAAATAAAATTAAAAGTATATGCTCTGGCCAGTTTGACTCAGAGGTTAGAGCAGACTGAAGGGTCTCTGGTTCAGTTACCAGTCAAGGGCATGCATGTACCTGAATTGCAGGTTCGATCTAGGCCCTATTCAAGGTCATGCAGGAGGCAGCCAACAGATGTCTCTCTCTCCCATCAATGTTTCTCTCTCTTTCTCCCTCCCCTCCTCCCTCCCTTCCACTCTCTAAAAATCAATGGAAAAATGTCCTTGAGGACTAACCAAAAGAATAAATAAAATTAAGAAAAAATAAAATTAAAAGTATATAAATACACAGATGTGTATTTGTAACTGCAAAAGAAAGGGTTTAGATATACACTAAAGTATTTTTTTTTTATCCTCACCCGAGGACATTTTTTGATATTTTGTTCAGATAGAGTGGGAGGGGGGGAGAGAGAGAGAGAAACATCGACGTGAAAGGGACACATCGAGTGGTTGCCACCCACATGACCCAACCAGGGCCAGGGACAAACTGCAACCGAGGTACGTGCCCTTAGCGGGAACCAAACCCAGGTCTCTCCAGACCGCAGGCCAACACTCTAACTGCTGAGCCAAACCGGCCAGGGCTATACACTAAAGTATTAACTGTGGTTCCCTCTGGGAAGGAGAGTACTAGAAGTGAGTGAAGGGGAATATATTCACTTGTGACACTATTTTGAGCTACATCTGTACTATTTTATCACAACAAGCATATGGTTGAGGGCTGCTTGTGTATTTATATATATAAAAAAAAATCTTAGGATCTATTTCTGGAAGGCAGAGGCTAAGCCAAAATAGCCTTATTTTCTCTTAAAATTAAAAGTAACCTCAATCTCAATCATTTTTTTCTGCTAAAATTTTTTTAAATAAATATTGCCATATAAGGGACTTGGGGCCTATACTCTTTCTAGTCACTACCTATGAATTGTGGTTAAAATGAAAAGATTAGCCCTGACTGGTTTGGCTCAGAGGTTAGAACGTTGGCCCCAAGACCAGAGAGTCACGGGTTCAATTCCAGCCATTGGCATGTATTTCGATTACAGTTCCCCCACCCAGGGTCGTGCGGGAGGCAACCAAGCAATGTGTCTCTTTCACATCAATGTTTCTCTCTCTCTTTCTCTCTCTCTCCCTCCCCGCCCCCACTCTGTCTGAAGATATTTGAAAAAATATCCTTGGGTGAGGATTAAAAAACAAAAAGATTATGTCTTTAGGAAAACTAAAAATACATAAAAAAGAAAGAATATATTTATTTTTCCCTTTAAAAAAAAGGAGTAGGAAAAATTAGGGCTATAACCTCCCATCTCCCTCAGGTATGTCAAAAAGCTCTTTAAAAGATTTTTTAACCCTGGCTGGTTTGGCTCAGCAGTTAGAGCATTGGCCTGCGGTCCAGAGAGACCGGGGTTCGGTTCCCACTAAGGGCATGTACCTCGGTTGCAGTTTGTCCCTGGCCCTGGTTGGGTCGTGCAGGTGGCAGCCATTCGATGTGTCACTTTCACGTCGATGTTTCTCTCTCTCTCTCTCCCTCCCACTCTATCTGAACAAAAAATGGAAAAATGTCCTCGGGTGAGGATAAAAAAAAAGTTTTTTTAGCCCAGCCAGTGTGGCTCAGTGATTGACCATTAACCCATGCACCAAGAGGTCACCAGTTTGATTCCTGGTCAAGGCACATGCCCAGGTTGTGGGCCATTAAATCCCCAGTGGGTGACATACAGGAGGCAGCCAATCGATGTTCTCTCTCATCGATGTTTCCATCTCTCTCTCCCTCTCCCTTCCTCTCTCTCTATAAATCAATAAAGAAAAGAAATACATACAAAACAAAAAATACACAACCTATTAACTCTTATCCTATGGATGGATTATAGTAGTAGGAATGAGAAAAGTGAGTTTTCACATTTTGCACACCTTATTTTTAAAAATGTACTTATGCATTTTATATCAGTCTTTAAAAAATGTATATTTAAAAAAAATTTTTTCTTGTATTGATTTTAGAGATAGGGGAAGAGAGAGGGAGAGAGATAGAATCATCGATGAGAGAGAACATCGATTGGCCGCCTCCTGCATGCTCCCCACTGGGGATCTGGCCCACAACCTGGGTGTGTGTCCTGATTGGGAATCGAACCAGCGACCTCTTGGTGCATGGATCGATGCTCAACAACTGAGCCACACCGGCCAGACTAAAGAAAAAAAATTTTTTTCTTTATTGATTTTAGAGAGTGAGGAAGGGAGAGGGAGAGAGAGAGAGAGAAACATGGATAAGAGAGAACACAGATTGGCCACCTCCTGCATGCCCCCCACTAGGGACTGGGCCAACAACCTGGGCATGTGCCTTGACCAGGAATCGAACTGGCAACCTCTTGGTGCATGGATCGACACTCAACCACTGAGCCACACTGGCTGGGCTATATCACTAAGTCTTAAAAGGTTTCTTTTTTTTTTTCAGAGTAAAAATAATGTAATAAACTTCAGTGTAACCATTACCAAGCTTCATCGGTTATCTACATTCTCAAGGTTCCTTTTAAAAAATAGTATGTGGTGCCCTGGCCAGTTTTGCCCAGCGGTTAGAGCATCGGCCCTCAGACCAAAGAGTCCCAGGTTCGATTCTGGTCAAGGGCACGTACCTCAGTTGCGGTTCAGTCCCCAGCCCTGCTCAGCGTCGTGCGAGAGGCAACCAATCAATGTGTCTCTCTTACATCGATGATTCTCTCTTTCTCTCTCCCTCCCACTCTATCTGAAGATAAATGGAAAAATATCCTCAGGTGAGGATTTAAAAAATTAAAGTAAAATTTTAAAAAATCATATCTCATGGCATTAAGAGGACAGGCTTTACAGTTAGACAGAACTGAGTTCCAGTCCTCACTCTCCCACTTACCAGCTTTGTGACTCTGGGTACGTCATTTATCCCTGAGCCTTTGTCTCATTTATAAGTTGGGCTACTCACAAGTCTTTCCTAGGGGTGTGAAGGGGAGATGATAAACAGCAACAAAAAGCACTAGCCTGGCCCTGGCCACTTTAGCTCAGCGGTTAGAGTGTCAGCCCTTAGACTGAAGGGTCAGAGGTTCAATTTCCAGTCAAGGGCACATACCTGGGTTGCAGGTTTGATCCCTGGCCCCAGTCTGGGTCATTTGGGAGGCAGCCAATCAATGTGTCTTTCTCACATTTACGTTTCGCTCTCCCTCCCTTCCACTCTATGTAAAAATCAACGGAAAAATATCCTCAGGTGAGAATTAATCAAAAGAAAAGCACTGGAAACAGTGTGGACAGTGTCTCATGAATGGTGGCTAAAGCAACATGTTTAAGTGTCCTCTT